TATGTACGTGTGTCTGTATGCGTGTATGTATGTGTGTATGTATGTGTGTATGTATGTGTGTATGTGTATGTGTGTATGTATGTATGTATGTATGTATGTATGTATGTATGTATGCATGTTTGTATGTATGTATGTATGTATGTATGTATGTATGTATGTATGTGTGTGTGCATGCATGTGTATGTATGTATGTATGTATGTATGTATGTATGTATGTATGTATGCATGTATGCATGTATGTATGTATGTATGCTGCATATATGATGGTATGCGTGCATGTATGTACATATATATATATATATGTATGTAAGTAGGTAGGTATGTATGTATGTGTGGAGGTATGTATGTACGTGTGTATGTACGTACGTAAGTATGTAAGCAAATCGGTAAGTAAGTATGTATGTAGGTATGTATGTATGTATATATATATATATAGGTTCTATGTATGTACACGGTGTATTGGATGGCCCGATCTTCATGTGTGTCTCTGCTCTTGTAAAAAGCATCCGCCGTTAGCTGTCCTACACTGCCGTGAGATCAGGTCCGCCGTGTCAGCCTTCGTGCAAACATACGTGCTCCGCTTGGACAGCTCACAGGGCTCAGGATTTTAGGGTTCAGGGCTGATCCCTAAAGCCTGCACCGAGCGTACTCGCAGTATGCTGGATCCAACCGACTCATAAAATCACGGACACATCATGGCACCAGGGACCGTCTCCAAAAATCGCAGCTCGTGATGTTTTGTATCCTACTCCCTGCACTCCAGGGTGCTCCAAGACCACACGGGCGGATCTAGGAATTTGGGGTTTGGGATTTAGGGATCATTGCTAACAGGAAGCCTCAGGGGAATGCAAGCCTTGCGGCACGTAGGGTTCCCGATGCCCAGACCTCCACTTTGCAGTTGGGGACCTGCTAATTCTACCGAGAAAAGACTTTGCATGGACAACTAGAAAGCTAGCCCTGTCGAACTAGAGTATGTTTTTTCTCAAAACAGACTCGAGCTTCCACAAGGTTTTTGTTTCTTTACCAAAAAACTGTCGAACTAGAAGCTGTTCTGAGAAAGTCTCCGCCGCACCTGACCATCCGAATTGAAGTGACATGCGCTCCTCAGCCCAGAAAGCCCTACTGGCTCCATGGTCCAGTGATTTAGGGTTTAGGATTGTCAGGGTGCTGCCTTGGAATCTCGACGATCGATCTCACCTACTGTTTGGAAGTGCCGTTTTGCCAGCAGAACACCCACAGAAGCAAAGTTAATCATATTTGGCAAGCACCCCGCGGTGTAAGTGAGCACAA